ATGTCATTTTCATAAATTGCTTAACAAGTATTCGGTAACATTTTAATTATACTTTTCTGCAGTGTTAATCTTAACACGATTACTTAAATCTTTAAGAATGCAATATTGCATTATATGCTTGAAATACTCCAGACGCGACTTCGACGGACCGAGACTTGAGCGATAACTAAAATATAAAATAAAATATGAAATTTACTTAATTAAAATTAAAACTTATATTTACTGTTAACTCGTTGCACTATGTTTTAACATATAAAGCTGCATATATATATATACTAAAATTGAAGTTATATTTCGTGTATCTTAATGTTTGGATTGTAAGATTTGTTAAGAGTTAACAATAATTATGTAAAGAATATCAAATGTTTCACACGTTATTATAGTGCAAAGAGTTAACATGTAACAATGTAGAATTAAGTAATATTGTACCGTAACATCAGGATTGCCAGGCTGTATTTTCAATTCATTTAATACCCACACATTATTAGTTAATTTTAATGATTGATAAAGCATATCCTGTCCTTCAACGTTTCTCTTGGCAATAGTGAAGACATTGTTTTGTTGCATCTTTTGTACCACTTGATCAGCAGTCAGCATTATTCCGCTTAATGTATACTGAACCTAACAATGGAACCAATCTTATTAATTGAAAGACAAAAATTGTGGAAATAAAAAAATTATTCTATCAAGCTAATAGAAATAACCTCATTTTGGGCAGGAATATCTTTCCAAGTTGAAAGGAATACTCTTTTGTCTAGTTGTCCGTCTTCAGTAAAATATACGTTCATAGGGACTAAGCATGCAAAGTAGAATACATCAATATTATTCTTTATGGCAACTTGTAAATTATTTAAAGGTTCCATGCGTTGCACTGCTCCTGCCGTGGATAAAATTACATTGGTTTCAATAGTAGCTCCTGGACTTAAAGGACTAGGTACTTGTAACGGCGCTGCTGGTGTCAAACCAAAACTATTTTTATTAAGTTGAATGGCAAATCCTCCCATAGGTTGCATTGCTTTATTTGTAAATGTCATATCCATGCTGATCTGACCATTTCTATTTTAAATAAAATTTAAATAAAATACTAGTATCATAATATGTTTGATTATGTATACTGTGTAATACTTACTTTCTTGAAAATGTACCCCAGATATCAAAACCTTTACCCTTTTCTGCAGGCAACCAATTAACTTTAGTTGGTACATAAGATGTAGGTCCTTGATTGAAACCGAAAATGTCACCCAATAATCCTGTTGTACTCTGGGAAACAACCGGTGCTGTAGTATTTGCCGCTCCATCATTACTACCTAAAATTCCATCTAAACCACCTCCTAAAAGATCTAAACCTAATCCTGATTGCGCAGCTGGTGCTGGAGGTACTATAGTTGGTCCACCTTAAAAAAAAGTATTCAAATGGCTTATAATTCTAAGCAGGCAATAGTATTGTTACGCACAATTACTCGAAAATTAATCTACTCACCAATGTCCATACTGAGAAGATCGCCTATCAATGAGTCTTGCGCAAGTATAACTTGAGCATGAGGTTGAGAAGTAGTAGCAGTACGTTGACTTGAATCCTCATTTGAATTACTTCTAGCAGGTAAGGATTTCCTAGCTCCAGCTGCTCTACCTTCCACAAACGCGGTTGGTGGTTTGTGATATACTGATGCTAAACTAGAAATATGACAGATCAATTCATCTAATAATGTTGGTTCCAATAAATCTGTTTCTTCTGAAATAAGAGGTTTCTCAGCTAGTACAACTTCTTTAGCTGCTGCTGGATCAGTGCTGAGCAATCGCCAATATATAAATCCACGATCTCTTAAATCTGGATTATCTGAATCTTGTGTTGCTAAACTTAGTACTTGTTGTACTAATTCTTGAGTGTCAGTAGGTCTTTTTAAAAATAATTTAACAATGGCTGTTAACAGTTGTAATTGCACTTGTGTATTTTCATCGTGAAAACCTTCTAGAAAACTTTCTAACAATTCGTCTGCGTTATCAATACGTTCCGCATATTCTCCAATTATCCAAATCATAGAAGCACGTGCTTCTGGTTCATCAAGAGTATCCAAATTTTCGCAAAGTGTTGAAATTATACTTTCATATTTATTCGGATATTTACGGAAGATATCTTTAATAACGACAATGGCTTCTTGAACAACATAATTAACCTAATGAAAATAAAAAACATAATATATTGCAACAACTATTACAAAGTTATGATATTATGTAATAATAAGATGCATACTTTTGTTTGAATTAGGTCTAGTAACGTAGAAACGCATCGCTCTGCAGAAGGTTCAACTTTTATAGCGCAACGTCCAATGGCTCTAACAGCTTTCCTAACAAAATCTACATCAACTTCTGTAGCATATTCTTTTAATTCGGATAAAACCTGGGCAATATTGGCTTGCGATGCTAAACGTATCATAATATCCAATTTTTCAAGTTTAACATAAATTGGATCATTATATTTGACAAAGAAAACTTTCATTTCGTGTTTCAATATATCTGGTCTTTTTTGTACAATAAGATTTATATTTCTTAGTGCAACATATTGAACTTCAGGTTCGGAACTGAGCAACGTTACAAGAGGCGGAGCCAATTTTTTTGTAAGAGTACCAACAAAATCAGATTCTGATTGGAGCATTTCCATCAATTTCATAAGGACCTGAGTTTTTAAATGTAATATTAACCATTAATTTGATATGAAAAATAAAATTTAATAATTATTTTTATCTTAGAAAATGTATAAAAGAATCTACCTTAACGGCAGATAGAACGACTGCAGCATTTGCATGCGCCAAACGTGGAGTAATACGTTCGCAAATACTTTGAGCTTCACGATCATCTTTTGGCGAATAATTAGCGAGTGAATCTAATATAAAAACTTGACCCCATTCTGTACATTCGTTAAGAGCTGTTAGAAGTTTGTTAATAGTTTGAGCATTCATTTCAACTAAAGGTTGTCCGCTAGGACTAGCTTCATTAATTTCTGACAATGCAGCTACTGCATTAGCAACAACCTATTAACAAATAAAAGGAATGATAGAAATATATATGAAAATTAAAAGAACAATATTAATAATTATATTATCTTTTTTTTCTAAATTGGTATGGATTTACACATACCATAGGATTGCTATCGGATAGAAGATCTTTTAATTGATCCAAAAATCCTTGATCTTCAACTAAAGCAGCATTAATGTCGTAAAGCTTGGCAACGCATACTGCGGCCGTTTTACGAACATATGGATCCTCGTCCTTCAGACATTTCCTTAATGGCTCGCAAAGGTATTCAGTGATCTTGTCAACACGTATGCACCCCATTGTACGAACCGCTAATGCTCGAATCAGTGGATTTGGATCTTCACAGTCCTGCGCAAAAATCGGGCAAGCCAGGGATTCAAGTCTAGTCACAGCAGTGGCTATCTATCTCAGTCCATGAATTTAAACAAAGTAGAAATTGGTATGGTACCTTTGTCATCGGAGATGTCGCTAGCTCCTTTTGCGTGTCAGAACGAAAAAGGTCAAATTGGTCACCGTCACCATTTTTATTAATAGTTAAATTATTATACTTATGAACCATGTAATAATGTAATATAACACAGAACTGATCATTTTTTAAAGAGCACGAGATATATTTATTACGCTTTACTGTACAAATTGTTTTTATATTTCGAGTTGAAATATCAAAATATATATATGTATACATATATATGTATGTATATATGCATATATAAATATATATACATATATAAGAAATATTCACATTAATTCATGTATTCATGCGCGAGAAAGAATACTTAAAGAAGAATTATTAAGAATCTGTTGAACATTAAAGGATATACATAAATATTCCATATTAACTATGTCATATAAAATGTTATTTTCAACATTGATTACATTTATTAACGACATGTATATATATCCCGAAAGGAGTGTAATAATTTTCGTGCAATTAGCAGATCTCTATTCGCTGTATCAGGCATCAATTTATAATGCAATAATACATATAAAATGACATTTAAAGAATTGGATGAATCATGCTGTTCACATTATATAGGCATTATAAAAGAGAATCCATATTTCTACCATTAATATTATATTAGATGGCAGTTTAATTTAAGGCCAATTAGATTTTTATTGCAAATATACAGCTGTGACACAATTACACGATATGCTACAAGCTGTTTAATTGCAAAGTTATATTGTGTGAATATGAGAAAATTCCATGCTTTATTTTGGAAAAGATATGATAAATTGTATTTGGTGCATTAGTGTTGTAAAGAAACTAACATTAATCCAGATCCTTTAAAACCATTTGATGAATAAATTTTTGCTAAATATCATAATTATCAATAGAAACATTCCTGCTATATTTATATTTATGCTTTATCGAAAATAGATACTGGAATTTGGTGATATGGAATAAAATTAATAATACATTCTAATAATATGTAACTGTAATGATTAATCCTTTTAGGAATATTTTTAATATCATTATATATCAGCCAAACTCCAGGCTCGTGCCCTTTGAAAAATAAGCAATTCAGAAAATACGAAAGGAGAAGTACATTCCGTCCCATAACGCAGACAGCTCTGTACAAACTGGTGTAATTTGCAAAGCACAGTCTGTACATAGTATGAGGCAGGCTGCAAAAGGAATTATAGGTTTTTTTTTGTTCCCATTAAGAGAACTGTCTTTTAGTAGAAAAAAAAAAAAGAAAAGAAAAAACATTTTCAGCTTGCCTCTTTGCAGACAGAGACTCTCAACATCATCCAAGTGTCGATAAGTTATTTGAAGGATGAAGGTGCATTTAAAAATTTATTAAATCAAATGAGTTTCTAACGCTACATTACCTTAACGAATGTGTTGACAGCCATGATGGCCATATCTGGTTGACTCTTAGCATAATTCATGAGATACAAATAAACCAGTTTCTTCAGTTCCAAATTATCAGTCTGCATACAGTTAACAACATCAGGAAATAGCGCAGATACATCTTTGCCTACTGTCATGGATGCAATCACCTAAAAAAATTACATTATTCTTATATACAAATTTATTGCATTAATGTAATGTAATATTTCTTATATATATATATAGAGAGAGAGAGAGAGATTTTTCCGACTAAATGTTATTAGCATATTATAAAAGTAATTAAACCTATCATAAGAAGTAAATAATAATAATAATAATAATAATAATAATAATAATAATAATAATAATAATAATAGTTATAATAATATTAAATGAAAAGTCATACAAATATTCTGACATTTACCTTCTTAACAGCTTCCTTTTTCTTTTCTTTCTTATCATTGTTCAATTCTGATTTAAGTTCAAATATTTCACCTTTTTTTGTTGTTGTAAAATATTTCGAGTCTGTCATCTTGATAATCAAATATCAGATAAAGGTACTTCTTACAAGGTGTACCTTAGAAAAGGAAAAAAAATCGGTATTAAACACTTATCAGAAGATCCTTATATTATATAGTGGAAAATTAAATGAGGACTCAATATAGCAAACCATACTTGGATCAATGTTTAAGGCCTATGGTGTCTTCTTACTAACTTTGAATAAAATCGAAATTTCCTTTAAGTTTATATATGCATGTACATGAACATTGATAGCTTCAATTGCAGCAACAAAGTTATGAAATTTATTTGATGTGGGTAGAAATAAAACAAAAAATGACAAATTTGTTACAAATCTATATCTATGAGAATAACATTTTAGATTATTTTTATATAAATAAACGTGGTGTTAGGATTTGTAAATACAATATATTATGCATTAAAAATAGACGACAAATTTGATACCTTTTACTAATATTCTAATTATTTAAGAATCGAAGGAAAAGCTTGTCAATTGTCAATCGAAAGCAATACGCCTCCTTACCCCACTTTTACGAAGACTGACGTTTAGTTAATTTTTTACCAATATCGATACCTATCGATATTACTTTTCTATCGATTCTCGTATCAATAAAATCGATAGTAGTACATGATACCAATCTTTGTTCGACATTAATATCGGCTTTTCTATCGATAATCATTTAAATCAACATTAATAAATTATTATGTTTAATTTTCCATATTTTCGAAGACTTTTAAACTGTTCGTCTTAATATTTCTAGTAAACAATTTTCTAAATTTTATTTCGAATATATTTCCGTTAACTTTAGAATATATAAGATGTCTCAGCAACTGCTGACCTAGCGCCACCGCGTGGCCAGTCACTGAAACCAACTGGAAACAGCTGTTATACCCGTGCACTCTGTTTTAATAATCTTCTCGTTTGTTTATCTTTATAAGAGTCTTAAACTAAGGTTATGTGAACGTATTATTATCACACGATAAAAGAAGAAAAAACATTAATAATTATTGTAAATGATTATAAATAACTCGTTGAAAATATAGAAGTATATATCAGTCCGTTATATGTATAAGTATTAGTGCTGATATTTGTTTAGAAAAAAAAAAGAAATAATAATAAAAATGTTGTCTATTGAACGAATCCCAGATCAAATTGGATATTTAGTGTTAACAGAGGATGGAGCAGTATTATCGGTAATATTTGAATCATTACTTTTGATACTTAAATATTTTATATATTAACACGCGATTTTGCGTACACACACACAACTTAGCGTTTTAGGTTATCAAATTTTTGTGTGAAATTCATACTTTATATGTATTGTTATCAAAACAATAGTATAACTATTAGTATTCGTACCACTTGTGGTTTGTTACAAGACTTATATGTTATTAAGCATTACTTTTTTCAACATTTGTTTATCCTAATGATATTATTATAGATTAATGTATTTGTTTAAAAATAAAAATATTTTTTTTATTAAATTACAGTCTGGTGGTGATCTAGAGAATGACGAGAGAATTGCCAATGTTATCGTGGGCTTGGTAATGTTAACTAATAAAATAGATCCAAAAGCTTTTCCCACGGGTGAAAGTTTTGAAAAGATATCAATTACATATCCGGATCATTGTTATATTATTTGTCTTTCTAATAAGAAGATCTACGTAGTAAAGAAAAAATTATCTTTGTCAGAAAAAAATATTGAATTGCAACAATTTATTGATATTTAAATATATACATGTATGTACAAATGAATACATTAACATAAATACATACATATGTACGTATATATGTTAACATATTCGGAGTCAATAATTTTGTTATATATAGTTTTATAATATTGAAAGACCTGATTACAATAAATTCCTGTTATTAAAACTATAGGATAAAAATAATAAATTTATTTTAAAATATTAGCATTGCAAGAAATTGTTCTTTGAAATGAACAAAACAAATTTGTCTAATATACAAATCTACAATATGTTCAATTTATAAAAATGAGAAAAAGTAATATAAAAAAATATACTTTTAAAAGTTGTTCTTTTCTCTAGGATTGTATGAATATATTCAATACTGTTTTGTTTACTTGCTTTTGTAATATAAAATAAATGACTTGTTATTAATTTTTTTTATTAAAAAATGTATATTACGTGTTATTATATTAATTCCTTTGGAAAAACTATATTTTCTTATACTGTATTGCAAATTAGAACCCTTATCGGTAGTAAATTAGTATATGTAAATTAAATTTTCTTTTTACGAAACGCTTAAAAGTATAGAATACCTTATGGTTAAGGCGTAGATATAATCCATTATTTATAGAAAAAAATTTGTATTTTAAATATTATATACAAATACAATGCATTAAATAATAAAGCTTCAAAAAATGTTACAATCAATATTAATTACATATTTACATTGGCTACAATTAAAAACTTTACAGTATAAATTACGCTTCAGTGTCAGTAGATGAACCATCATAATTGACTAAAGAGGTGGACATATTTGTACTGCTTTTTGAAGAAGATGCTGTATTTACCTTTGGTAATATCTGTTTATTTGAATTAATTTTCTTTTTTGTTATTAAAGATTGCGATGTAATCTTTGTTTTGTTTTTAGAACGTACAACAGAAACTAACTTCTTCAAAGGTGTTGTACGTTGCGTTTCTACAATTATTGAAATTTTAAGTATATTGTTATACAAACTTATAAAAATAAGTCTAATTTTTTTATAAACTTACCTTTTTTTGTATTATGAGCAAGTAATTTAGCTACTTTAATATCATCTTCATGTTCTTCTACCAAATTCATTTTTAATCCGTATTTATTCAATAATAATTGATTTGATCCTTGTTTTTTTTTAAGTTCTTTCTCTTTAGCCTATGACATATATCAAATAGTTATTATTGCATATTTATTGATAATTTGTATTTATTTATACAAGGTGAATTAATTGATTGTTTTTTATTTATTTAACATACGTACTCTAAAGGCTGATCTTAATGCACAATTAGAACTATAATCATCCTTCCATATTGCATCATTTAATGATATTGCACTTTCCAATGCTTTATCCCGTGATTTGGCTACCTTTTTGTCTTCAACCTTATGTTCTAATTTATACATAGCATCATCATATAATCGATGTGAAACTTCTTTTGTTTCTGGTACGATTTGCTCATTTTCTTTAGGATCCCATCGGTTCTCTTGACGCCGAGCACCATTTACAATCACATAATCTAAATTCTGAAAAGTATATAATTTTTCTATACATTTGCAAAATGACATATATACATATAAAATAATAATATTAATAATAAATATAATTATATCTTACAGCGGGATCAGTTTTAATTTCAAAATGATTATCGCAAAGATGACATTTCATGCGAAATTGATAAAGTGGAGTACTATAATACATTCCAATCTTTTTCTTTTCTGCATTGTATCGTACACCCATACCAATATGATTTCCACAACCATTACACCATATATTATATGGCATTTCAAACCGAATAATAAGGATTCCCATGTGAAGTTTACGTGCCCTTTCACGTAGTGCATGTGTTCCAAGAAATTTATTAAGTCCACCAACGCGTGGATCATAATCAGGTGGATAATATAAATTTGTTCCTTTTCTTTCACCCATTGTGCTACAAATGAATATTTACAAAAAATTTAAGTATAATGTATAATATACATATAAATATGATTTCTTTCTTATTTATCAAAGAAATTTAATATAAGAAGAAGTCAATATAAAAGTAGAAGAATAAGAATATAATTAGAAAAGAATAAGTTAATATAAAAGTATATAACAACAAAATATAATAATACCTGAATTAATATAATATATTTTAAGCTAATCAATAATTAATTATAGTTTAGCGCAATAAAACTTTTGATTGATACTGATATCAGTTTATCTAATATTTTCGTTTAACTTTAGATTTTAATGTAATAACTTCAAATAAAAAAATAATAGACAAAAATCACCAACTAGACGAAGAGAATGAGGTTGAGAATGAGGTTAGGATCTCACATACAAAATAATATTAATTTTGACGTAGAGACCATAAGTTGACAATAAAATCAAAACAAAATTAAATGGAATGACGAAGATTTAATTGATTATCTATATTGTGAATACTGTACATAAAATTTTGATTAGTTGCGTCACGTAGGATAGATAGTAGGAGTCTGAACGATATAGGATTTTTCACATTTTTTGTGGTAGTCATTTCTTAACCCCGATCATAGTTCTCTTTTTTGCCACTGGCTGCGCAAGTATTCAGAGCGTACCGATRCTATTATTATTATTATTACACGTAAATTAAATATAAAATATTAATTTATTTTTTTAGAATTATTTTTATTAAAAAATGGGAAAGTGTTGTGCCGTTTATGGTTGCCTTAGTGGCCGAAAGACAAGTGAGAATTTAGGAAAAGTGGCTTTATTCAAAGTATCAAAAGTGAGTAACCTCAAAATAATATTAAAAATTTTATGTTAACAAATAATTGATTATTACATTTGTGTAGTTTTTAAATATTATTAATTCCACGTTTCTTAAAATATTTGTTTTCAGAGCTGTCAATAGCAACAAGACTTCCTGCGTAAGTATTTAAACGAGTACTCTATGAAAAGCAGCGCGCCCTACCGGCAAAATATCTTGTCCCCCTAAATTGATACCATTCTTTCAACATTACGTTCGGACTCCTGGTATCTATCCTCCGTGAGTTGCGTTTAAGGAACAAATATTACTAGAATTTAATTTACTTGAAAATAAGGCTTAACTTTAAAAAAACATCTAGTAACTAAGAAAACACAATAAATTACCCATAATGCCTCAATATGAAAAAGCCGCGATAAGGATGAATTCTTCTTACATTGTGTAGTAGCAGTCAATTATTAACTAAAGAGGTATCCAAGAGGTAAGAAGTTAGTTTTATTATTAAAGATAGTATTATTTAAATAAATTTTTGTTAAAATTTTGTTTACATTATATTTCATTTTTATATATATATTTAAACGCTATATATTAACAATTTTTACTTAAATGAAAAAATGATAAAATTAATCATTTGCACATCTTAACTGTTGAATAAAGAACATACGCTTTTATAAAAAATTCATTTTATACTTTCTTAAATAAATTCTAATTTGAATAATTCATTCTATCATTTACAGTTAATATATTTTTAACAGATTAAACAAGTGTGTTTTTATGTCTATTGATTTTTTTTATATAACAAAAAAGTGGCGTATATAAGAAATCGTTATTTTATTCCAATTTAATTAAGAAAACCTCAGTCACCTTTTATGTATGTTTTAACTAATTTATATTCTGATTAAAATATTTTTATATTGCAGGGTTTAAATTTTAATATATATATATATATAAAAATTTAATAGTATTAAAAATGCTAGGAGGTAAAGGAAGAGGTAAGGCAAAAAGTAAAAGTCAACCTAAAACATCACCTGCATCAGCTGAATCTCCAAAAACACCAACTACATCTGGTACATCTTCAAAAACACCAACCACATCAGGTCCATCTCCAAGAAAATCAATTGCATCAGGTACATCTACAAAACCACTTCCAATCCCATCTGATACACCTCCAAAAATAGCAACCACATCAGGTATATCTCCAAGAAAATCAATTACACTAGTTAAATCTCCAAGTTCACCAACCAAATCTGGTACACCTCCAAAAAAAACAACCACATCAGGTAAATCTCCAAGTACACCAATCGCATCAGGTACATCTTCAAAAATACCAATCCTAATCCCATCTCCACAAAAACCAACTGCATCAAGTACATGTGCAAAAACGCTAGTCGGGTCAGGCACAACTGCAAAAACACCAACCGCATCAGGTAAATCTCCAAGTACACCAATCGCATCAAGTACATCTTCAAAAATACCAATCCTAATCCCATCTCCACAAAAACCAACTGCATCAAGTACATATGCAAAAACGCTAGTCGGGTCAGGCACAACTGCAAGTACACCAACTGCATCAGTTAAATCTCCAAGTCCACCAACCAAATCTGGTACACCTCCAAAAAAAACAACCGCATCAGGTATACCTCCAAAAAGACCACAGACATTATCATTTCATACACATTGTTTTTCTCCATCAAAAAGAGAAAGTGCATCAGGTAAATCTCCAAGTACACCAAGCACATCTGGTACACCTCCAAAAAGAGCAAAAGCATCAGGTAAATCTGCAAGTACACCAAGCACATCTGGTACTCCTCTAAAAGGAGCAAGCACATCAGGTAAATCTCTAAGTACACCAACCACATCTGGTACACCTCCAAAAAGAGCAAGCGCATCAGGTAAATCTGCAAGTACACCAAGCACATCTGGTACTCCTCCAAAAGGAGCAAGCGCATCAGGTAAATCTCTAAGTACACCAACCGCATCTGGTACACCTCCAAAAAGAGCAAGCGCATCAGGTAAATCTCCAAGTACACCAATCGCATCAAGTACATCTTCAAAAATACCAATCCTAACCCCATCTCCACAAAAACCAACTGCATCAAGTACATATGCAAAAGCGCTAGTCGGGTCAGGCACAACTGCAAGAACACCAACCACATCAGGTACATCTCCAAGTACACCAATCACATCAAGTACATCTGCAAAAACACCAACTACATTAGATATATCAGATACACTTCCAAAACTAGCTGCATTAGATTTATCAGGTACACTTTCAAGAACAACAATTGCATTAGATATATCAAGTACACTTCCAAGAACAACAACTGCATCAGATACATCTGAAAAATTTGCAGTAACATCAGATACATCTGCAAGAATACCAACTACATCTGGAACATCGAATGCACCATCAGAATGTATTGCACCAAAAATTCCTGTTTGGCCCCGGGAACCAACTGCTTCGTTAGAAGCTTCTACATCTCAACTATCTTTATCTGAGTCGCCTGTTTTGTCTCAGCCAATTTCGTTGCAGTCTAGACCAACTCATCTTGAATTGTCGAAACCTGGACCATCAAGTCAGGTAAAAACAACAGAAAATATTAAAATATTAAATTATATGATTTCTTTAGCTAATTAAGTCTGAAATGTATCTTCATTTCATGTTGTATTATTAATTCAAACAATTAGTTTATTAATATAGATAATCAATTCGAGTTCTGTAGAATTTTAATTAAGGATATTGTTTTGATGATAAATTAGTTAGATTACTCATAACTTTTAATTTATTATAATTTATTTATTAATGTATAATGAGGATTTAATAAATTATTTACTGTTATTGTTTATTAAATTTATATAATATTACAGCCTTCTTTACGAGGACGTGGTGATAGACGAAAACCTTTTGAAGGATCTCTTTATGAATCTCAAGTTCCTGATGGTAGTGTATTATTTAATCGAAAGATATTTGATGATATATGCATCAAGTACATATGCAATGAGCATAATTTCTAGTTTGATTTCAGTACGTTAAAATAAGAAAAATAGTTCATATCATATGCTTAATATAAAACCTTAACAACAACTATAATTTGGGAACGGGATGTCATATCGGGTATATGATTATATGAACTTTTTTTTAATTTTAGCATACTAGAACAATCCCTGAAAGTTATGCTCAATATTTTGTAACTTAATTTATTTTAATATTATTTATATTAAAATATGAAACTTTATTAGTCAGAGCTAGTGGAGATACTTCGTTTGGTAGAGGTGCCATACGAGGTAGAAGATTCCTATGTACAGATTCCTTATTAGTCACAAGACCAGAAAATCTCCCTACAAAAAAGGGTAAGTTTTGATTTTAAAATTAATTATTATATGTATGTATATAAATGTTATTATTAAAACGTAAAATTCGTTAATTCACGAAATGACTAATACAATCCTGAAATAACTATACGGAAATATGAAAAAAGGTAAAATTACATATTTCAATTAGGTAATATATGAATTTACAAAAGACCTGTAGTTAAGGTATGAATTTGAAATTTGATCCATAAATTAGATCCAATAGAATAGTATGACTAACAGAATACAAAACTATTTAAATGTACTGTTTGTAAATTTGTGCAATGCATTGTATGTACTAATTGTACGAAAAAATCTCAGACAACATGTATATTGTAACAATCTACTTTGATTTTTTATCTGAATATTGTACTTGCAATTTAATTTGTAGGAGTTACTGGTAACCAAATTATGCTTCAATCCAATTATTTTAAGTTACCATGTTCTGCCGATTGGACTCTTTTTCAATTTAGAGTTGATTTCGCTCCAGAAGAAGATAGTATCCATGGTAGGAAAAAATTACTTAAACTTCATAAAGAAAAATTGGGCGTATATATTTTTGATGGTACTGTATTATATACAACTAATCGTTTACCCAAAGTAAGTATCAATATTAATAAACACGTCAAATATTTATTAATAATATAAATCAAATATTGACTTGCAGAATATGGATCTTTTATCAATAAGAGAAACCGACAGTGCAAAAATTCAAATTACTGTAAAATTTGCCAGAGAGGTTCCTAAGAATGATTTTTATTATTTACAATTTTTTAATTTAATAATGAGGAAATGCTTGGAATTTTTAAACCTACAATTAGTTGGTCGTAATTTTTACGATCCGCATAACAAGGTGAGTAAAAAATTGCTATTAATATGATTATATATATCATTTATTGAAGTATAATATATTTTTATATATACATACATACTTAAGATTTATCTCACTCCTCTGCTCACACATTACATATATAGATATATTAATTATCTAATTAATTAATTTTATTTTTTATAACAGATAGATATTAGTCAATTTAAATTGGAATTATGGCCAGGTTATTTTACAGCTATTAAAGAACATGAACAAAACATTCTTATGTGCGCGGAAATAACACACAAAGTTATGCGTCAGGAAACACTGTTAGATATATGGATAAATTGTTTAGAAACAGATGATAAACCAATGGTAATATAATAAATGACTTTTACTATTTTTTAAATATATTAATATATAATAATAATTAATTGTACCATTAATAGCAAGTGTTTACTGACCTAGTCAAGGGAACTGTGGTACTTACTGGTTACAACAATAATACGTATAGTATCCAAGATATTGATTTTCAATTAAATCCAAAATCTACATTTAAACTTAAATCAGGAGAGTCAATTTCGTATCAGGATTATTATAGGGATAGATATCAACTTAGAGTTTCGTACGCAAATCAGCCTTTGCTTATTGCAAAACCAAAGCAAAAGATACGTACTATGAATACAAATGTATCGGATCAGATGATTTATTTAGTTCCTGAATTTTGTCGTGCGACAGGTAAATTTATTTGATTGAGTATAAAGTGTATTAAATTTAATATAATATTATTGATAAATAATTTTATATATATGCCAGTAATTATAATAGTAGATCACAAGTTGAAAAATAATTTATTTTCTAATATATTTTATAATATAAATTATTGTAATATAAAATAAAGCATAAACTTCATTTTATTTCTCTCTCTTTCTCTCGTGCGCTCTATAAATATATATTGTTTTTTTTTTTTAGGTTTGACGGAAAAAATGCGATCAAATTTTAATCTGATGCAAACTTTATCTGCACATACGCGAGTCTCTCCAGAGGCACGAATAAAAAAATTATTACACTTTAATAGAAGACTCTGCTCTGAACCAAATGTCATATCGGAGTTAAAGAATTGGAATCTTAAATTGGAAAGTAAATTGATCGATGTTCCAGCACGTGTATTACCTGCTGAAAATATTTGTTTCGGTACACGGTCTAAATCTACTACATTAGAAGCAAATTGGACAAAAGAATTACGTTTTAACAAATTAGTTACTTGTACCCCCTTGGATAATTGGGTTTTAATACAAACAGAATATACACAACCTGATTCCAAGGTATTATATTTTTATCAGTTATCTTCCAACTTAAACAAAATTATTTGAAGTTTATCATCAACTGTATTTTATTGAATTTTAATTCAACAGGTTTTCGTAAAAAATCTAATACAGGCTGCTGAAGGGATGGGATTTATTATAAGACGTCCAGAAGAAGTGATTATACGTGACGACAGATACAACACATATGTTGATGCAATAGAAACTTATTTGAGTAAAAAAAGACCGCAATTTGTTTTTTGTATTCTTCCGCAAATTCGTTCTGACCGTTATGGTGCTATAAAAAAGAAATGTTGTGTAGACCGTCCAATTCCATCTCAAGTAATAGTAAAGAAAAATTTAATTAAAGGAGGATTGTCTGTATCTACGAAGGTAGCTATTCAAATCAATTGCAAATTGGGTGGAGTTCCATGGTATGTGGAAATACCACTTCAAGGTTTAATGGTAGTAGGTTTTGATGTTTGCCATAGTAAACAATCAGGCAATTATGGTAAGTAACATTTAATAATTAAATTATCTTTAACACATTAAGCGCTGAGCTTGCTTTACCTTTTTTTTATTAACGGGACGATATGCTGCTCACCTGGAGAGATACATAAATATATTAATATTTATTATAAATAATTTTAAAAATGCTTATATCGTTAATCGTCAGTATTAACTATCATTAAATACAGCGCCTAACGTGCTTATTAAGATATATTATGATTTATTGATCTATAAAAACGGTTTTTTTATATGCTATTATAAAAAACATTATTTTTTACAGCTGCTACAGTAGCATCTATAAATAATAATTTAAGCAGATATGTAAGCGCTGTAAGTGCACATACTTATGGTGAAGAATTATCAAACGATATATCTGCTCATATTTATAAATTCGTAATGGTATATAGAAGTGTGAACAAAACATTACCCGATCGTATAGTGATCTATCGCGATGGCGTTGGAGAAGGTCAAATAGAGCAAGTCTATCAACACGAGGTAAAGCACATAAGACAAAGCCTTCAAAAATTGTATAAAGAACAAGTAGTAAGATTGGCTGTTATAATCGTAAACAAACGAGTTAATAGTAGATTGTTTTATCGTGAACGTAATCCACCACCTGGCACGGTAGTGGATGACGTGATTACTAATCGAGTAAAATACGATTTCTTTATTGTATCCCAAAATGTTAAACAGGGCACTGTTACACCAACCTCATATAGTGTAATTGATGATAATGTTGGTCTTGATGCAGATAAAATGCAACGACTTACATATAAATTGACACATATGTACTATAATTGGTCTGGTACTGTAAGAGTACCAGCTCCATGTCAATATGCACATAAGCTTGCATATTTAATTTCTGAAAACATTAAAACTATACCGAGTGTTCGTTTGGAACAACTTTTATATTTTTTGTAATTTGGAATCTTTATATCTATCGTTTAATATTGTTAATGATATGCGCCCATCGTACGTAAATATACGTATATAACAGGTTGGTGAATTAGTAAAAATTAACACCTGAAAGTGCTGCTCCGTATTTTGAATAAATATTTTATTTTTTGTTTTGTTTATTAAACCAATTCGTTAGAAAAGAAGTTCTTTTTCTTTTTATTATAAAAATTTTTTTTAATATGTCTCCATTTTTTAACGGGAAATTCTTTTTCACTGTCATGTCCAATATTATAATATCTTTTATTACCACTTAATTCAGCAACTTCCATTCTACTTATTGCATTAGCCTAAATTTGCACGAATATGGGAGACATGATTGCGCTGCGTTGCTGTGTGAAAAATGACTAATTGTGTTCATCAGTCAACGTGTTAAAAAAAAAAATTCGATACAATTGTTTTTTACAATTAGGTGTAATTCTTGCAATAGTGCAATTTATATAAGAATTTTTTCAAAAACGGAGTAATTGCAGATGACAATTGTTATTGACGTAACATCTATATACATATTTACACGTATTAAATGGAAACTTGACATAAAATCAAAAAATATATTATTGTTTATTTCTAAAGATTTAGAGAAAAAGGAATTATTTTGAATGTCTTTTTTTTTTTTTATTATAAACTTACTCGTGGATATTTTTATTTAGCTCATTATAGAAGTTATGTCATAGTTGTAGTATCGTTGACATTTAAACAGTTTTTTTTTTCTTATATTATTATTTTTTCTTACATATGTATTTTATGTATGAGTTAAAATTAAGTTAGATTATAGATTTATTCACATAGAATAAAATCTTAATTAAGCAGACTGTTCAGGAGACAAATTAGGCGAATAAATCGAAGTTCAACAGATAGTTGATACTAAAGTAGAATTATTTTAAATATATTTTTTATATGCTAAATAAGATTTTGTGTGTGACAATGTTGTTATATCAAATTATATGCATAAAAAATGTTTATTGTGAAACATATATAGGTTTTTTATTTTTGTATGCAACATTAAAAAAATAAAAAAAAAATAAAATATAATTAAAAAAGTACATGTATATTCGTGTACGTACTTCTAACTTGTGATACGCAACTCCTTACACATATTTTTGTCTTGTGTTCACATTTTTAATATTTCTTTATTTGTTGTTTTAATTTATTTGATCGTACTCAGAATAGGTTACAAAAGATTATATTAACGAACTTAGAGGGTTAATGGTTTATAGCAGTATTTTCTAAACTTTTTAGATTCTCAATGCCTTTGCTCATTCCAAATTTTTCAAAGACGTCCTATGACAAATTTCAAAAAATGAAATTTTTTAAACAGCTGATAATTTTTAGCAAGAATTTAAATTTGTCATTTTAATCTTAAGGGATTAAGTCGAAATTGGTCATTACAGTTCGAATAAATTAGAACCAAACATAAGAACTTTTATTATTTGCGTTTTAGAAATTCCTTGCAAATTACTAACAGCGGTGTTATTAAACTTCAGCCATCGTTATAAAATGTTATTTATTTTAAATATAAATTAGTACAAATTCTAACATTTCATTTTAGCTGACTTAATATATTGCAAAAGTAAATTATTATCCTTTAATCTGTTTAATTTAAATTACAAGTGAATAGAGTAAGTTTTTTATTTCAAATGTGAAATATATTTATAAAATTGATTGACTATAATGTGTAGCAGTCGTGGCCGAGTGGTTAAGGCGTCTGACTAGAAATCAGATTCCCTCTGGGAGCGTAGGTTCGAGTCCTACCGACTGCGTGAGTTACTTAGTTTTTAAAACTATATTTTTTTTCTCTTCCTATCAATTAAATATGTAAATTAATCAAATTTTGCGAAAAATTACGAATCAGTATTGATAAAAAATTAATTGCATTTAATTTGAAGATTTTAATGAAAAAATGAGGATGAATATACACAAAATATTCTTCATGTTGGATTTTTTTTTATTTACATATTCCATGTATTTTAATATGTAGATTAAGAAGATTAAGAAGAAGTAGATTAAGATGTTATAATATACCAAATATATAATATATGTATAAATAATATAATAACAAAAAAAAACCATGGATGATTATACTTTGTGAGTTCATGCCTAAATACAACATATAGAAGAGTTTTTAAAAAAATCGTGGTGAGGAATGTTTCGTATATATCTATGCATACAGTATGATTCTGAGGATTGTCATTGTATATACGCGATTCATTCCATATTCGGATAAACGATCATTAGGATTATTGACGTTTATACTATTGTATTAATATTTAATCTGGTAAATATTTATCGTCTATTCGAAAATTTTTCCAAAAACGTAAACGCTTAAATAAGAATAAAATTTTCAATACAAAAGGTAATTACAAAAAAAAAATGTCAAGTCGTAAAGTACTTAAATCATTTATTTCACTTTAAGTGTAATGGAAAACTTTTACAGCTGCAATATCGCATAGACTTAATAATAGGAGCTCAGGTATAAAAGCATTATCGCATTGTTACAAATACTCTAACTTTCGAAAGCAAGCGAAGAAGTATGTGGTGTTAGTTTAATCAATCCCTCTCCATAACAATTACTAGTTTACCTCTTAGTAAAACTGTAAACATTTGTTAGTCTACTGAAGAACTCATTAAGTAATAACATCAACGCTAAGTACCACGGAGGATAGATACCAGGAGTCCGAACGTAATGTTGAAAGAATGGTATCAATTTAGGGGGACAAGATATTTTGCCGGTAGGGCGCGCTGCTTTTCACAGAGTACTCGTTTAAATACTTACGCGGGAAGTCTTGTTGCTATTGACAGCTCTGAAAACAAAATATTTTAAGAAACGTGGAATTAATAATATTTAAAAACTACACAAATGTAATAATCAATTATTTGTTAACATACAATTTTTAATATTATTTTGAGGTTACTCACTTTTGATACTTTGAATAAAGCCACTTTTCCTAAATTCTCACTTGTCTTTCGGCCACTAAGGCAACCATAAACGGCACAACACTTTCCCATTTTTTAATAAAAATAATTCTAAAAAAATAAATTAATATTTTATATTTAATTTACGTGTAATAATAATAATAATAGYATCGGTACGCTCTGAATACTTGCGCAGCCAGTGGCAAAAAAGAGAACTATGATCGGGGTTAAGAAATGACTACCACAAAAAATGTGAAAAATCCTATATCGTTCAGACTCCTGCTATCTATCCTCCATGCTAAGTTCAACGCTAGGTGCAACAAATAAGTGAGTACTTGCAACTATTTCTTATTCTTTTACACACACACACAACACACACACAAACAATTGAAATTATATCTTCAATATTAAATTAAAACAAGAGTTTTATTAATTATTCGATTACAAATAAAAATATTAGCAACTAATTCTACGTATAAAAAATTGAATACAAAAATGGAACTTTGTATACTAACGAAGATTTCATGTAAACGCGTTTTATTTTAAACATAACATTTATGAACACACTTCCGTTTTAGAAAATAATGTAAAAGTAATTTAATTTGAAAAATAATATTAATTGCTAACTTTTTAACTTACTTGAAAACATAATAAAAAATAATCGAAAGAGTTGTAGGTAAATTTATAAAGTTTATGAAAAGAACGTCAACATTTCTTCATTTAAACTTAAATAGATGATGTAGATACGTTCAATAATTAGACATTTTTAATAAATAATTATGATCGATAATTTGAAAGCTATAAATACAAATAAATAATCTGAATGAAATATAAATAAAGAAAAATATCTGATTTAATTATAATTTTAATGACGACGGCTCACTTTTAGTAATTCTCCTTTCTAAACTCTATATTAATGTTTTTTTTTAAATATTCGAAATATTAATTTGTTATCTCATTAACACGTAAGATTTATAATCGTGTATCATAATATTCCACGAGTTTACTTTTATTCGTAAATAATCGTAATAAAAATCAAATTTACTGCTACTTTTGTCGTTAAGAGAAAAATCGACTTATGAGTTTGATAACACAAAATATGATAAACGTACGAATATCCAATGAGTTTTTTTATATTAGCGATTGATAAAAATATTGCGAAATCGAAATAATATTTAAAATCTACATTTATACATTTTAACAAGCATAAAAATATAAGAAAATTTACATAAATAGATCATAAATTTGGGATATGATTTTTTATATAATGTTGAATAAAAAAAAAAGTTTATCGAACGGAGTTATATGAATTCTGGGTGATAGCTGCCGGATTACATACAAAAGTGGTTAATTATTACAGTAATTATGATAATTTCGTAATAAAATTATAAAGTAACCACTACAATAACTCACATTATTAGATTGATAGCTTACAATTTATACGTTTTTGCATATGCTTATATATCTAGTGTTCTAAACGGAATGTTGCATATGTTTTAACTCACTAACTTCTGCTTAAAGACATTGTTACTTTTCCTTATGAATAACGTTTGTAGTACAAGTAATTTGGTATATAATAATTGTTTTATATGATAGATCGAAACGTAAGAAGCTTCTAAATCATGTCTGAAATGTCTGTGGCTAAAATACGAAATGATTTTGAGATTAAGAATAAGGTTGAGTATCAGTAAATGCGACTAATGTAATCTCTGTGGAGAAAACGAACTTTCTGATTAAGCTGATTAATACTCTTAATGGCAAATGAACGTTGTATCGTGAAATCCAAAATTTGCTTTATTAGTATTTCATAAATATATCTAAATATATATATATATAAATTTATAACAGATAAGTATGTAGATGTATATATCTAATTACATCTAGAAAGATAATATATTATTAAATATTAAAGTGTATACTTTTCATAATATTTCTATGTATATATCTACAGTATCTATATATCCATATAGATATATATATATTAGGGTGGGTCAAAAAAATGACTTATTTTTTTTTTTCAAGTACCAAGCAAAAATGGATTCCTAGACACCTTAAAAGAATTCTCACCAAATATGAGCTCTTAATTTTAATAGGAAGATCCTCCGCATCGCAGTTTTTTATTTTTTTTCAGTCCAATAGATTAAAATTCATACCTCATTATTTATTGATTGTATAGAAAAATGTTCTAGACGAATTTTGTAGGAAATTTAATGCTCTACAAAAAAGGTATCTTATATTTTTTCCGTAAACCTCACCATTTAAATGATATTAATTAGCAAAAGATTACTCTATCAGTAAAATATTTTAGAAATGTTTTAAAAATATTTTTGTAAAATCTTTTATGAATCTTTTTCAAAATATTTTAGAATGATGCCTGCAAGGTTTCTGAAAGATTTTTTGGAAATATTTTACGAAACTTTCGCTGAAAGATTTCAAAACTTATCGTGTTATGTGGGTATATATATATATATATATATATATATATATATATATATATCATATAATAGTATAATATAAGTATGTAATATATCTACATACTTATCTATTATATATTTATATAAATCCTATAGATCACTTAAAAATAAATTTTATCGACATATAAATCGGTAGCTGATAATATTTGATCAAAAATATTGATAAACATATTTGTTTTACATATATG